CAGATTGGGTCAATGGTCTGTAGGCGGTAGGGTGACGCAGGAAATGGTCCTTATTTTGAAACGTTCGTGTAGTCAGCGTGCTTTTACAAGCAATCGTGGCTGGTGAAGGGCCGCCATGAAACGAACAGAGCAGACGATAACATGTTTGATTACATGCAATATGGCAGAAGCTGGACACGAAACACGGGTGTTGAAGTGTAGAGTTCGTTTTAGTCACAGTGCTTTTTCAATCAGTCTCGGTGGGACTCATCAAGGCAGGGGATGACGTTGCAGATCGGGTCAATGGTCTGTAGGCAGTAGGGTGACGCAGGAAGTGGCGCTGATTTTGAGACGCAGGGATTTTTTCGGGTGGACACGTGAAACATTGCACGAAATCGGGGGACCTGTGGGCAGCTACGTCTTTGTGATGCAGGTGTGGAATGGACCGAAGCAAGGCAGTCTAGGAGCGAAGATGTATTTGCTTTTGCTTGTTGCAGGCAGTAACTTGTGCAGTAGTGATGTTTTGAAGCAGTCGAGGTGGGTTTTGCAGAATGCGAGTAGTGTAGAAGCAGAAGACCAGCGATATCGATGCATTGTAGTGGAACAGCATCATGCATGTACCAGAGGGAAAGACAAACACAAGTAGCACTTTTTTTTGAGTGAGTGCCGATGAAGGAACTTGTGCTCTTGGAGCCGAGTGGTTGTGTATTTGCCGACGAAGGAACTCGTGCTCTTGGAGCCGAGTGGTTGTGTTTTAGTAGCGAGAAGTCATGGCGACACTGGTGGCGTACAATCACCGGGTAGGCAGTGTGGCTTTGCAAGATCTGTTTCCTGGCTTTGCTTTCTCAGAGCTTCGGACTATCTACGTGAGGTTACGTGAGGGGCCACTAGAGCGGCAAGATGTCGCTATGTCCGTTCGGGTCTGTAGGGTGGATCGCTTCATCGAAACGGTCCGGGAACCACGGCTCGTGAGTGACGGCTACGTTGCTGCAGTGTGTCTGGGTGAAGTTGCTCTTCCGGAAGATGGGCAGGAATGCGCTAGCTTGATTGGGCGGCACGATCAGTTGTTGGCGAAGATAAAGGAAGCAGGGCAGTTCGCTGCAGAGAATCGTGGTCCGGGGATGACTCGGCAGCATGTTCGGAGGCTGGAGGCTGCTGCCAACTATCTTGGTGAGATGAGGGGATTGGAGCCTGGTCTTTTGACTCTGGCAGAAAACCCAGTGTTTAGAATGTCCATAGCAGAATTTTTGGGCACGGAGGAGTCGCCAGCGGAAAGAGCGAACTTGGCAACCTGGATCACCAGTGTGCCTCGAGTGCAGACTGGCTGGATTCCTATGGGCGGCACGCGTGCTTCGCCGCCAAACATGGCGACGCTCCTTCTGGGGCAGTTGCAGAGAAAGCTGCAGCAAACTGTCCGGGAGTCCGAAGATGGTGTTCGAGAGACACCGAGAATTCTATGATGCAGTCGATGAACTCTTGGAATTGGTGCCAGCGGGTCGTTTGGACGTGATCAGCATTGTGCTTGGATGGAGTTTTATTCATCTGCAGAATGTTGTGTATGATGCAACGCAATTGGAACAGCAAAGGCATCTGGATGCGGTCCAGTGTGTGGCCTGTACCACCTCCTTTATGAGCAAAATGGCTGGTAATGGCGGTTGGGAGAGGCGTTTCCGTGGACGTCGCAGGCAGGATGTAAGAAACGAGATAGGGTGGTTGCAAGCAGAGGTGCATCTGTTCTTGTTCTTGTTGTCTGTTGCAGTCGGCCGAATAAGAATTGGAGGTTGGTTTATCTCATGGACGAGTACATGGGCGAGCCCTTTGAGCGCACTGCAATCAACTGCATACCTTTCGATCGCATGCTGTTAGTTGGTGTCTCGGCTTCTGGCCTTATGGGAAGATTGGTATCAGGGGAAGATTGGTATCAGCATGAAACAGATTAGAAATTGAGTAGCAGGGGTGGATGTAAAGCTAATGAGATCGATGTGGGAGAGGGGGGGTTGGCTTAGCGGCCACTAGGTGATGAGCATCAATATCCGCGCTGGAAAGCGGGAGAGCGCAGAGGGGCTTTAGCGCGGCCGCTGCAGCAGCGCGTCAACATGGAGTGGGCGGTGCGCGCCAAAGGGGTACAAAAGTTGCGCAGTTTGGAAACGTGGCGAACAGGGCAGTTTTCGGTGAAGAGGCGGGCAAAAAGGGTGGCTCGTTTGGAAAATGACTCGAGGTATGTGTTCTGAATTAGTGTTTTTTTGTTCGGTCGTTGTGGTAGGTGGCTGAGTGCCAATCCAGTGCAACCCATCGAACCTTTGTGGTGCCAATGCTTTTGTTCCGCTTGAGCAATTGGACGGTGGATGGTCAGAATCAGAACATCCATTGTAAGCAAGTGTGGGTGGCAGTGGCGATGGTGGTGGCTGTGGAAATTTTGGCCGCTGCTAAGAAGGGAGTGTCGCCTAGCATTGGCATTGGTGGCTTTTTGCTGGCTCCATTGAATGCATTGGAGGCATTTTTGAAAAGAAAGCTGCAGATCTTCGTGGGAGCATTTGCGCCGTGGTTTGGTATTGTTGGTGAGCGCCGTGATGCGCTGTTAGCTTCAGATTTGATGCAAGGCGGGGTTGAGAAGATAAAAGAACATCGATTTAAAGGGCTGTGTAAGGAGTTTAGTGTCTGATGACTTTCAGTATTTGAATGTTATGTCGGGCGAAAGTGTTTTTCGAGCTTCGGGAAGTTTCGCGAAAGATCAGTTGGGGGCGGGCAGGCGTGTCCATGCGAGGGCCCTTTGCTGCAGCTGGCTTCGAAGCGGAAACCTACATTGTGTTGGGTGCCAGGATTGGGGGTTGTGAAATCGAGTGAGGAGCGTTGAAGCAGTGAGAAAGAGAATTATGAAATATATGACGGGTATCAAGGAACCGTAGCTACATTAGGGGTCCTGCTACAATGAAATTTCTTCAGCATGGAATTTTCGTTCTGGCAATCAAGAAAACAGAGTGGACGAATTGGTATTTCATGTTATTTTCCCCATCAAGATTTGCGCGAGTCCACTGGTTAAAGTGTCATGGAACGTGATGCAACGTGATGCAGGTGCTTCGAAATGTGCTGGGAAAAAGGGCTCGTGACCGGAGGAATGCCATGTTTCACCCTGTAGATGTGACGCCGCTGTGAGTCGGTGCGAGCAGAGCACAGTGCTCGGTGCAACGCACAAATGAAGCCTTTGGTTTTGATTCGGAGCAACAGGTCATGTTTTGCGTGTGCGAAAGGTCGACGCTGTGTCTGTTGGATTGTAGATGGTTTGATCCCGTTGAATACCGCCCAAGCTCCCCTGGGCGGAGCTCGATTGTGCTACCTGACAAAACGCGCAGCTATACCTACCTGAAGCTATCATGGGGGCAAATGGGACGTATCTTTAGTTTATTCCAGTCCATTTCGAGCCCTTGTGGGACCATGTTTGCGACGTTCAAGTCCCTATTTCGAGAAGACACTATGTTCGACAATATGGAAGCTATGCTCGTTCAAGTCCCTATGACGTCTAGGGCTATGTTAGGCAATATCTTTACTTTATTCCAGTCCCTTTTGAGCGCTCGTTGGGCCATGTTTACGACGTTGAAGTCCCTATCTCGAGGAAGCATGCTTGAAATAGTGACTTCTAGGGCTATGTTAGACAATATGGAAGCTATGTTGAG